TCCATGAGGGATGGATAATACAGCGGTAGACCTCACGCTATTGGCGACATATGGTGGTAGACCTCACGCTATAGTAGCACCGTTTATTCTTGTTTCTTTTCAATATACAAGTGGCAAGTGCAAGGATAGATTTCATACAAAAATTATTTAAAACTTTTTTGTTGATGGCAAAATGAGATGTTAGTTATTCCAGTAATATTTGTTATTTATAAAAAACTTATTTTTAAGTTAACAATTGGCATTATTGTGACAGAAATTCAATAATATTAACAAGTGATAATCATTACTAATGAATAATACACATTTAAGTCAAACTCTTAAAACTAATGATACCTCTGAATTATAGTTGTAGCTCAGATTGAAATTATTATTAACATCTTTGAATTTCAGCTGCACATCAAATTCTAACAAGTGTTCTTATCTTTGAGATTGAGCTGTAACTCAGATTGAATATCTGTAATGTCTACACTATTTTTAATAACTAACTTTATTTAATAATGCTTAAGTTTTTAACTTATCTATGTGCTACTGAGATACCAAGAGTGATTACAGTGCTACCATTTTATACTTGATATGATTTGGGAATTTCATTAAACACTGACAGCTCATATGCTAAATCTAAATTAACTTTGAGAAATATTGTTTCAAACTTGAATGTGTACTTACTTGTGTTCTTTCTGAGTAAAAGTCTTCACACTCCACAACAGAACTGCTCGATCTAAAACAACAATAGCAATGTTTAAACTGATAGAATATGTAAATGTGATACTATTTCTATGAGTTAACATTTCAATTGTTCTTATATGTACTTTTGTTTCTTATATGATTAATGTGTAAAGGACAAATAATTGCTACATGTACACTTTGCAGGAAAAGTGTGTACAGCCTTCTTAATGGAACTACAAAATGTCTTCCAAAAAAATGGAGAATATTTTCATAGATGAGTCACAAAGTTGCCCTGGTAGAGCATCTTCCAAAAAACAGGATAGCTTTCAGAGGCTTTGTATGGAGTTTCTGATGAACCTACACAAGATCTTCCAGAAAACAAATGATAGACTTCAGAAAACTATCACACAGCTGTCCTGATGAAACTGAAGAATGTCTTCCAAAAGATGGGAAATATCCTCATTACCTGCATCTCCTTAGGTGGCCCACAAATTAAATTCACCAAAAATACTTTGTAAACACCAATCATCGCTACAAATCATAAGATCAAATCACATATTATTAGCTTTAATACATCCTGCAAAATGGCATTATAGCATAACTAACATAAGCAAATTTATTAATAAATCAATATTACATTTACTACTGGAATTTTTTTTTCAAGTATCATGTTACCAATAGTAACTCCTATGTTTCAAGTCATAGTGAATGTTAGATGTTACAGATATAGCATAAAATCACAAGTTTTGGTAAAATCCAAAATTGGTTCAAAGTGCATAAGACATGACCTTTCAGAGTTTCATTCAACATTGTATTATGTATCTGATGTCAGAGTTATCAACTATTCATGGTAGAGTAAATACCAGATACAATGTAGAGAGATACTGAAAAAAATGTAAGAATTCACTTCAGAGGTTCTAGAAGTTATGCAAATGCAATATTCCGACTCTACGATGGACAAAAGTATTTATATTCTTCACGCGCACATCACCTTGCACTTCTACTTGTCATCTGACTCAGACTGACATCATCAACTCATAGAAATATCTTGAGTACAAACATCTATGCAACTCATCTGATTTTTAGTGTAAAACAAGACTTGTACATTTTACTAAGAGCTTGCCACATTTTTGTAGATACATGAAATAAATTTGTAATGACAGACAATATTCCTTCAACAATGCAAGATCAGTCCAATGGACTGAGCCTGTACACACTGGATTAAGGATATTAAGAGAAACTAATTTTTCTTACTTAACCCATTTGAAATGTATCTAAATGATCATATGTACATTCCTAAATTTTTCTTTTCCTGACAAAAAAGTACACTGGTTATGTATATTTCTCTGAAGATACTCTGGATTTTATAAAACAATTTACCTTCTGCACAAGAAGCCAAGTATTTCCCATTGCTACTGAAGTCCATGTCAAGAATGTTGCCACTGTGGCCTTTCAAGGTACATACCAACCAGGGATGAGTATAATGAGTTTTTGCATCACGTCGTTTCTCAGATGTGCCTTTTTTTTTCTTGTTTTGACTTCCTCTTGATTCTTTCTGTTCAATGTTGCTGTCCAAATCTGTTAAGAGGACAATACTCATTATCAAATTAAACAAAAGCATAGCAACTTACAATTTCTGAAAATAATATAATAAAAAAGTCTCAGTACTTTCTACTCACAGTTTTCAATCAAAATGGGGTACAAAAGCTGAATTCATTACTTAGGAAGAGTTGTAGACAGAACACAATAGTGATTGCTGCAGAGCTTTCTCTATGCACGTCAATTTCTTGTAAATAAATTTTACAAGTACTATCTTGTAAATTAAATAACCAAAAACAAGTGTAATACCAGCTATCTTACCAACAAAAGTATGATTTGTTATGGTTCTGTTGAATCTAATAATTATTTCATATGGTCAAATAGGAGATATAAATTTTTTTTGTTCACTGACTAGATATCAAGTTCTAAAATGTCCCAGGAATGAATAACAAAAGTAATATGCTAAGACTTCTTTTATCTTTAAATAAAATATCCTAAAAAAATATTATGACAACATAACATGTTTGAATAACACTAAATACAAATCACAAATTTATGATGTTTCTTGGCTACAAGAAAGACAATAAATGCCACTGATCCTTCTGTGGCTTAAACACTTGAATAGTAGCACCTTGTTCTTTATACAAAACTTTGTGTAACTCCTGACACCCAGATCTTCTCTTAGTTTCCCATCTTTCTGCGACCTTTCTGCATGACCAAACTAACACTCAAACAGTCAAAGAGCATAGCTTTATCAAATTTAGGCCTATCCTTCAAAGCAGGTTCAATTTCATAGCTGCAGCTTGTCCTACATTACTCTTCACAATTCATGCTTAAAGGAAAATTGTATTTTTGCTGAGGCATCAATTATTAGATCTAAAATGAAAGTAAACATAATTTATTCCTATACTACACGTGGATTTAATTTGCAGCAAAAACTGTTTTAATATTTTATTTCATAGAGTTTGTACACCATGCAAGCTCATTTTCCTGATGATTTTGAATATAAAAACCTTGTTTCACATAAACAACTCAAATATTTCAATATGTTGAACTTTTTTCTGTTGAGCAGTGATATCGGTCACTGTCTACTAAACACTGAATTAAAATATAAACTTTAATATTTTCTATAAAAAACTATGTTAAACACTCTTATTAATATTAGTGTTACTATTAAGAAAATGTACATTAAACTGAAGCGCCATACCAACAGAAAATGTCTAGCTATTTTATATTTACTTAAACTTTCCGTTTTACGTTCGTATTATAATTAAAGTCTATAAATCGCTAGCCTTTTGAGATTCGTCAATAACAAAGTTCCAGCTACAGAAAGCTACTAGTAATACTAATAGTTCTAATCGGTCCAATAAAAAAGCAACACGCACAGCAACGACCTAAGGCGCGTTTTGCTTCACATAAACGAGTCTAAATTACGTCTTTAAAACATGGCATGTGTAATAAAACAATTTACAACAGTTTTGATAAATAAACTGTAACGATGGCAATTATTCGTAAGTATTCACGTGGTAATTCTATTGCCACGACACAGATCTCGGCAACTGGTGTGATTAAGATCCTATTCTCTTAACTATTACTATTAGTATTAACCGAATTCTCACAAGAAAGATGTTTATTGTAAAAACTATAAGAAGAAAAATCACACCTTTTGAGTTCTGAGTTGCATCACCTTGATCACTATAATTGAGAAAATACACTATTAAAAGTATCACACAGGCTATCACTGACGTGACAAGAACAATTTGTGTATTCTCACTCAGTACTTCGATTAAACCCGCCATCCTATTGACTTAAGCAGAACCAAGCGTGTGTTGTGGAACTTGTGTGCAGCAGAATATTAAGATACTTCCAATTGTAATTATGAAAAAGAAAATCATTCAATTTGTTTAAAACTTTTTAAAGTAATATTTAATACTTATAAGCTTGGGTATAAATAATTATATAATAAAGAATTACATTTCATCAAAAATAAAAATGATTTTATATTTTTCATTTCACATAGATAACAGATAATATCAATAACAAAAAACATTTTGAAAGTGTGTAATGCAATAATACAATTTATACCTGCTTTCTTATTATAACAGCAACAACAGACTGTAATAAGCCAAAGTACAACGAGCGATCATCATCATGATGGTTGTTTCAGTATAATATCTTCTGAGATTCCACCTCAGAAGATTACCGGGGATGCTCAGAAGCTTTAGCTCCTCTTCGCCCGCTCGTGATGGGGGTGAGGGGCTGTACCAGAGATTTTCCTAAGGACTTTTTTCCACTGCACAATTATATTTTAACTTCATAATTTTGTAATACATGACACCTTATATATATACAGGCCTATAAACATATGATCCAAAAAATGAAGAATATTCTAGTAAATACATTTATTTATCAACTCCGGAATGGAATTTCATAATATTAAATATGTTATTTTAATACGTAATGCATATCTCGGGGTGGCAAAATTTCCTGAAATATTGCCGATTTCTGCGGAACGTTAACTGCAGAATTTGAACACTGAAAGAAAGCATTTAGTACTAAAATAGAACAGCGAAAATATTTTCTTTTAGCATAAATACTCGAAATTGTAAGCTTGTTTGAAACTTGCAATTTCGGCCACATTTTCCGGAAAAGTGCACCTTTTTTCAGGCCATTTTTCTCTTTATTTTCTTGTTCTGTTGCCTTTTCGTTTCTTTTTTTCACAAAATAAATGACAATACATGAAAATAAATAACAATTGTTTTACGATTTTGTTGTTTTGGAGATGAATACATATAATGAACTTCGAACAAGTACAGAATTCATAATGAAACACATTGGGCTCCTCCTTCAGCTGCTTGCCTTTCCTTCTTTTTTGTTTGATTTGGCTGATCTTGTTTTTTATTTTCTTCTCATCAGGTAACTCTTCGATGGGGTTTGCATCCTTTATCATCTCATATCTTTCCAGGACCACTGCATAGCACGCCTTTAGTGCAGTGTTTTCATTTGCATCAAGAATATCATTGATGATATTTCAAAGCCCATGTGGAAAATGTATACGAGTTAAAAGTTGGCAACTTGCTGCCCGTTTTGCTTTTGCAATGTATTTCATTTTCAACTTCTCAAACATGCGACCATAATCCTTTTTTTATCACTTACATTTCCATCATCATACATTTGCTTCACATCAACTATATAGCAATTAATAAACTTTTTTCCATAAGTTTTTCCTTGAACAGACCTTCTTGCCCAATCTTTCTGAAAAAATTTGCAACGTTTCTCAAGTTCAAGAACAAAATTACTACCTAAATTACCATCATCGATATTTTGAAT